GTAGTACAAGGTCTGCTTAAGTGAACTTTGACCTTCAATCTAGTTTAGATTTATACCTCTGTCTCAGTGAGTTTACTCTGGATTTTATATTTTCTATATTAAAATAATTAAATCTATGAATGTAAGGCCAAGCATTCAGGGACATTTTCTCACCTGACTTTTCTTCAATGGTTCAACAAACGATTGGACCCACAAAGTTGACAGAGCTGCCACAGCTGTAGGAGAAATCCAATAACCATGACTTTGTGACTTCAGCATTCATGTTTATGAACTACTGTCTTGGAATTTTTCAACCTGCTGAGGTCTATGACCTACATTTTCCTCTTCTTCAACTATTAGGAGCCCCACCTAAGACCTAATCATTTTATGGAGGCTCTCAACTCATAATTTCCATCTAAGATATGACCATAATCTCCTTAACCTTTTCATACTCTTTCATTTCTAATGTAATTGTGTTTTCTGACTTCTAAATGACTTTGTACCTACTGTATACCAGGCCCTGGTAGACCCCTGTGAGCACGATCATGAATTTGGGACATGTCCTTTTTATCAGGATGCTGAGAGACAAGTGGGAGGGACAGAAAAGTCAATGGGATGATATAATACGGATGTTTAAGAATTTGGAGAGGGAGACTCCAAGGATCAGAAGAGAACATAAGAAGGGCTGTTTGATATGGTAAACAAGGCAAGTCTTCTTAGATAAAGTAAGAGAAGATACAGATGAGGAAGAAGAGTCTTAAGGAAAGGAATGACTGAAGATTGCTGTATGCAGAGGATTTTTCACTTTCAGAGCCAGGATCTAGCACTGCAAGCTATCAACTGACATGTGTTCACAAAGCTCCAGGGATTATACTGCAGCTATCCCATGGCTTATACTGCAATAGGATGAAAATTGTAAATAATCTACTTAGAGGAATGGTGGGAGGGGGTGCTTCCTCATGTATTTCAACTATTGCTGTGATTCAGTTCAAAGGTATAGGGTAGAATTTATTTGAAAAGCAATCCAGTTCACAGTGGCATTTTCAGATACTTCAGTCTTAGAATACACTTTATATTTTTTGGAGAATAGTAATATAGTAATAATATTATTGCTAACTCACATTTATTACTTTTGACTAAGGCCTTCTATAAATTCTCTTATGTTAGCTTCATAATAACTCTTTATAGTGAGATAGTGCTGTTATTTTACAAACAAGAAAACTGAAGACCAGAAGAGTTAAGATAATAGCTAATAAATGGCTAGTATGTGAAGGACTTAATATTCACGATCATTCATCTGACTAGCCACACTCTTAACTACTAGATTCTACAGCAAGGTGTGGTTAGGTACTTTTTATCACTTGAAGACCTAAATAAAGATTTTATGTTCATCCTTCTGTGATCAACTCAAATATCATCTCTATTAATACCTTCCCCATTGTGTCCAGTGAGAATTATTTAGTCTATCAGTATGGTGTGTTACACAGGGAAGCACTGGCTGAATGAGATAAATGAATGCATTTCTTTCATGAATAACACATGTTTCTATCATAGCTGTTCTTACATTGGATTATGCTTATTGTAGTGCTTATATATTTATTTGTATGTTAGACCATGAACTTCTCGATATATGAGATCAGTTGTAATAATCTTTATATGCCATCACCTAGCACAAATCCTGGCAGATAGCTATTCAATGTGTACTAAATAAACGAGATTCTTAAATAAATGTGTGAATGAATGAAAGGAAAGTTTACCAGAGATGAATGCTAGAATGGTCAGAAATCTATTTCCGACCTCTGTTGAACTGGGAGTTTGGGTATTTTGTTCATAATCACGCCAACTTCTTTAACGAATGATGAGTTAGCCAAAGTCTTGCTGTTCTTTTCTGAACACCTTTGACTATCTTTTGCAATATGGGTATGTTGAGAGTTTCTCAAATCTTTAATGTTCTTCTACTTTTTGCTTACCAGTTGCTTCTTTGATTCCATTTTCTATTATATTTTACTATAAGCTCCTTATAACACTGGAACACAAACACAATTTAGGCAAGTTTTCTGCCACTTTATAACATGTTCTATAACATGTCCATCAACATGTTCCTCATTTGCAGAAACCTCATCAGAATTGCATTTGACACCTAAATTGCTAGGAGCATTCTACACCTTGTGATTTGCGTATTCCCTGAGGAAGCTTTCTCTACAGCTCTCCTCTTCTCTTCCTGAGTCCTCATTTAGCTATCCCTTCATAGCAAAATTGGCTTCTCCTAGCATACCTCTTCAAGCCCTTCTATTCTCTCCCCAGTATCCAGTTTCAAAGCTGCTGTCACATTTTTAAGTATTTGTTATAAAGCATTACACTTCTTGGTATCAATTTCTGTATTAGAGTTCTCCAGGGAAACAGTACAAACAGAATATGTGCATGTGTGTGATTTCCTGGACTAAATATTACACCACATTTATTGAAAATCTAAACTTTAAGGAATTCATTCACATACTTATCACATGGGTAAGATATCCCATGATCTGCTGCCAACAAGCTGTAACCCAGGAAAGCCCAGTTTGATTTCAGTCTGAGTCTGAAGGCCTCAGGACAAGATCGTCAATGGTATAAGCAGTCCGAATGAAAAGGCAGGAGAAGACCAATGTCCTAGCTAAAGCAGGCAGGCATAGAGAGAATACCCTCCCACCTCCTCCTGTTTGTGTTACTCAGACCCTAAAGGACTGGCTGAGGCCCATCCAGAGTGCAGAGGGCCATCTGCTTTACCAGTCTACCCATTCAAATGCTAATCTCATCCAGAAAGACTCCCACAGACCTACCTTGAAACAAGTGTAGTCAAACATCTGGACAGGGTGTGATTTAGTCAGGTTGACACATAAAATTAAGCATCATAGATTAATATAGTAGGTATTAAATCATTGTTGAATGAAAGAATGTGAAACACCACTACCTGTGATGTTAGGATTGGATTTACCTTAGTATTCACATGGATTATGGCACCAATTTTTGGTTAGTATCTCGCTGTTAGGATTGCGTGGCCTTTCAAAAATAAGCATGGTCATGTCGTAGCACACTAATCAAGTGTTAAGAAATGGTCTGCTCAGAGCTCTGACCTGAGTAACTGTAAGTTGTACTATCTGAATATAAAAATAAACAAGACACAGCAAAGCAAAACTTCCCAGGATTAAGTGTGGATTGCATATTAATACCTTCATATTCATTGTTTGTGCCTTGCAAAATGTTGGAACTATCAGGCCTGTCCAAAGTTTAGACAAACTGCAAAATCAGTGTTTGACTCACACAATCACATTATCACCAGCAGAAAGTCAGTCATTGTTTTTCATCAAGTATTTAATGAGTACCTATTTAAGACTACTAAAATGGCCACAAAGAGAGACCAATAGGAATGTTTATTCATCCTCAGATCTTCCTGGACTTACAGGTCAGTTTTAATTTAAAGAAATGCAGTGTATTCAGAATGGGGTTTACAGGTAAGGAGTAACTCAACAGACTTAGTACAATTTTAATCTTTCTTTTATTTACATTTATGATTGTGGTTTGAAGGCAGTTGAAGCCCTAGTTTTCTTCTCTCTCTCTCTTTCTATAGAATTATTCATTTGAAAGGAAGGCAGAGTGACAGAGAGGGAAAGAGAGCAAGTTTGAGCAAGATTTTCTATTCACTGTTTCACTCCTCAAATGCCCACAAAAACCAGGCTTATTAGGCCAGGTCAAAGCAAGGAACCAGGATCTCCATCCAGGTCTCTGACATGGTGGCAGGAATTCAACTCCTTGGGCCATGTCGTCTGCTGCCTCCCAGGCACATTAGCAGGAAGCTGAATCATAAGTACAGAGAAGGCAGGACAGCAGCCAGGTACTATGATAGGGCATGTGGCCATTTGCCTTGATCTGTTAACCTGCTACACCAAAACGTCCATCCTGGAACCCTAGTTTTCTTTTCAGAGAACTGATTTATTTGGGCAGTTAGACTTACATTTTATAAGCAGCTCAAAGTTCTTGTTTTGTTTTTTGTTCTTTTTTTGGGGGGTAGTCATTAAGCAAAATCAGCCTAAGGGTCTCCTGTTAACCCTCTTGCTGAATGAAGTGTGGTAGATTGAGTACATAATTCTTTCTTTTTTTTTTTTTTATTTTTTTTTATTTTTTTTATTTTTATTTTTTTTGACAGGCAGAGTGGACAGTGAGAGAGAGAGACAGAGAGAAAGGTCTTCCTTTGCCGTTGGTTCACCCTCCAATGGCCGCCGCGGCCGGCGCGCTGCGGCCGGCGCACCGCACCGATCCGGTGGCAGGAGCCAGGAGCCAGGTGCTTTTCCTGGTCTCCCATGGGGTGCAGGGCCCAAGCACCTGGGCCATCCTCCACTGCACTCCCTGGCCACAGCAGAGGGCTGGCCTGGAAGAGGGGCAACCGGGACAGAATCCGGCGCCCCGACCGGGACTAGAACCCGGTGTGCCGGCGCCGCTAGGCGGAGGATTAGCCTAGTGAGCCGCGGCGCCGGCCCTCTTTCTGATGGATAATTAGTTTCAACTTGCTAGATGTTTATTCTTCAGCGATAATGAACTTAAATGCATCATTGTTTTTTAATGGAGTTTTCATGTTTCTTGGCTATAACTAAGGCTATTTTCATATAAGTTGTAAACAAAGGTGGGAATGGTCATATTGGTTTCTTCTATTTCTACTCGAGTGTGTAGCATGTTTGGATTGGTGCTCCTGACTGTGTCCTATCATGTGACCCAGTAGGGCCCAGCTGCATGGGTCCCGAGGCATTGGCAGGAGCTGGCCTTCAGATCAGGGATCCCCGTCAAAGAGCTTAGATAGTCAGGAAAACAAGGAGGAGCTACATTTACTGCCTGTGTTGGGTAATCTGATGCCTTGGGGTGAAGTGAATGAAAGCCAGACAACCTTTCTGTAAGTTCCTTTGGATGGGATCTGGCAGAATCCAGAACTGGCAGCTTTCCATTATGGAATATCCATTAACTTTGTTTATCTCTGGAAAAACACTGCCCTGTTTCCACAGTCTGCTGCTCGTTAAAGAATGGTGCAAGAGATCATCTCTGAGTTCAAGGAGAGGATGAGCTTTCAGCTCTTGTGGAAATATGGTGGTGGGCAGCTGATCCCTCCTCTTTGTTCTGAAATGGCAGGTGGCATGCAACAGAATATGATCTCAACACAGGAGACTGATTCAACCAAATCCCCTTAGACTGGGTAACTGCAAACCATAGATCTGCTATAGCCACAGCTCAGCTTCCTGTGAAATTGATGGTTGATATTTATACCTGGAAAGGTAAAGCTGAACATAAGATTTGAATTCTTACCTTGACTTCCAGTCTGCCCCTGATGTCATGTCCCAGGACAGTGCTGCTAGATTGTGGGACTACTTTAGTTCTTTCTCTGTGGTTCCCTGTACATCTACATGTGCTGTTTAAACACATCTGTAGCCGCAAAGCACCTTTATCTGTCTGGAGAACAACCAAATAAATGTTTTATATAAATGTTTTTTTTAATGAATGAATATATTTAGAGTTTTTTTTTAAGATTTATCATGTATTTTTTTGAAAGAGTAATATATACACACATGGTGGCGGGAGGAGAGAGAGAGAGAGAGAGAGAGAGATCAATCTTTGATACACTGGTTCACTCCTCAAATGGCTACAAAGCTTGGGGCTGGGTCAGACTGAAGCCAGGAGCCCAGAACTCCATCTGGATCTCCCACATGGGTATCAGGGGCCCGAGTATGTGGGCAGCACATCTGCTGCTTTCCTGAGCCCGTTAGCAGGGAGCTAGTTCAGAAGGGGGGCAGCTGGGACCTGAAGGAGCAGCACTCTGATGTAGGAGGCTGGCATCACAAGCAGCCACTTAATCCGCTGCACTACAACACCTGGGTTTTGAAACGGAGAGTTTGGTTTGACATGTGAAATATATTATTCACAGGAATAGTTATTAAACATGAATTAATTGAATTACAATAAGAGATACTAAGTAATTATTGGATTACAATAAGAGATACTAAATAAACAGATATAGTGATCTTCAAAAAGTATGAAAATTGGGGCCGGTGCTGTGGTGCAGCAGGTTAAAGCCCTGGCCTGAAGCGCAGGCATCCCATATGGACGCCAGTTTGAGACCTGGCTGCTCCTCTTCCAGTCCAGCTCTCTGCGGTGGCCTGGGATAGCATTACAAGATGGCCCAGGCCTTTGGGCCTCTGCATCCACGTGGGAAACCTGAAAGAAGCTCCTGGCTCCTGGCTTCGGAACAATGCAGCTCCAGCTGTCACAGTCAACTGGGGAGTGAACCAGTGGATGGAAGACCTCTGTCTCTACCTCTCTCTGTACTCTGTCTTTCAAATCAATAAAATAAATCTTTAAAAAAATTATGAAAATCGGCCGGCGCCGTGGCTCAATAGGCTAATCCTCCACCTTGCGGCACCGGCACACCGGGTTCTAGTCCCGGTCGGGGCACCGGATTCTGTCCCGGTTGCCCCTCTTCCAGGCCAGCTCTCTGCTATGGCCAGGGAGTGCAGTGGAGGATGGCCCAGGTGCTTGGGCCCTGCACCCCATGGGAGACCAGGAAAAGCACCTGGCTCCTGGCTCCTGCCATGGGATCAGCGCGGTGCGCCGGCTGCAGCGGCGGCCATTGGAGGGTGAACCAGCGGCAAGGGAAGACCTTTCTCTCTCTGTCTCTCTCTCACTGTCCACTCTGCCTGTCAAAAAAAAAAAAATTATGAAAATCATTTGCTTGGATAAGTGTTATTTCACTGGAGATAATTGTGGAGATGGATGGAGGAGGATGCTGTTGAATCTTATGTATAAATTCTTTTTTTTAAATGGAAAGCAAATAGCAAGGTTTGTACAAATTCTTAATTCTCTGATTTAACTGTATTTGATTTATAAATAAATCCCATTAGAAAACACATTAAAAATTAGAGCTTAATTTAAACATACTTAAAAGCAAATTATAGTCTGTGAACTTAGACAAACAATATGCCAGTTTCATGGCTTACCTTCCAGTCTCTGATCAGCAAGAACTGAGTTGGCTTTAACTAGGAATTCTTTTAAAACATTCAGGAAAGAAGATGCACAGATTCTGTGGTATGTTGCTTAACACCTATTGTATCAGGAAATTCTTTCTCATATCCAAACTCAAGCCTAACGTTCTTTATTTCAAGAATGTTTTTCTGCAACATATAAAACCATCTTTATGTGCCACATAATTAAATTCAACATTTACCAAGTATACTTGTGTATATTCTTACACATATTAGCTTGATCGTGTTATAATGCAATATTAGCAGAATAGCATTCTGATAACATTTGGGGCATGAAGGATATTTTAATATATTTGAAGTATGTTCTTAAGCTCTTGGCTATCCCTTTAAATGCTTTTAAAAACAAACTTTTAAAGCTATGTTGCTTTGAATCTATTTCTAGTGTGGCAGTCATTCTGCTATTGCTTTATTATATTACATCTTTTAATTTCCATAACCTCCTTATGATATAGGAATTGCCAGTCTCATTTTACAAGTGCATTCCATACAGGGCTTGAATGTCCACATTTAAAGTCAGATAGCTATAGAATATCCTGTCGGGAAACACAAGCAGCAAAACAGTCTTGAGGTAATCATGACTCTTGTGTGACTTCAGCAAATGCTCTGTCTCTATAACAGGTGGATTTAAAAACAAAGCTAAAATATACGAACAAAGAAAAGTCATGTTCTTGCTGAGAGAGCATTGGTTTGAAATCAGATCCAAGAGATCTAATAACGTTTAAATTGTCCACAGTTCTGTGACCCACTCCATGCCACAAACAATTTTTTCTCACCCTCTCAACCCGTATATTCAATATAGAGATCATAATTACTGTTTTTATTTTTTTGGCCATGACTCATGGCAAGAAATAAATTTCACATTGCAACTCAGTAAAACACACACATACATGCATATATATGCTAAATCTACTGATTATGTACAGTACATCCTGGTATTTTCTACTTTGTTCTGTTTCTCTTTAAAAATGATGCTTTTGACACAATCAAATGATTTTACAACCCATTAATGGATCTCAAATGAAGTCTGAAAAACACTTAGCTCTTAAAAACAATTTATGCTACATTAATGTTGTAATTTCCACCACTGTAAAAACAAGCCCATCCATGCCAATATTCAAAACAGCCACTGCTGAAAAACAATTGTTGTATCTATACATATTCAAAAAATAAGGTAACATTGAAATGATGTTTTCCTTGTTTGAAAAATGACCTGTATATTTCAGGAAAAAATAATGAAGTCCTGAGCTATTGGATAATATAAGTAGAGCAAAGGTTAACATGATTCATTGAGCAAATATGCTTATTGAAGCCTCTGAAATGTTGTAACAGGAGGTGGCTATGAAGACCCAGTTTGGAACAGATCTCAAAGTACAGGATTTACTTTAACACAGGTTATAAGAGAATTGATATATGCTTCTGCCATATCTTCCATAAATAAAATTAGAGAGAGAGAGAGAGAGAGAGAAAAGGGAGGTAACTGTCCATTCCTAGGTAGTTGGGGATTATTTGCAAAGGAAAAACTTGATAGCTTCTAATAAAATTAACATTACCAGAATTAAAGTCAATTTCATTATGAATGTACTCTTTTTTCCTATATAAGTTTCATACTATTTTGTATGTGTTTGCTTCACTAAGAAATCTGTTTATTATGAATAGTGGATTACTTACCCATTCCATAATGTCTTTTGAGCTCCTTCTATATGCCCAAACTGAGGATGCAAAGATGGATTAATTGAAATTTCTGCTTTGACTACGTTTATAATTCTGTTAAAACTCAGTAGATCTTCATATCTTTTGAATTTGTTGGGGTACAACTGGATTTTCATGCCTACACATAGACTGAGAAATGTTAGCAAAATCGAGTACTTGAATGCACAATAAAACTTGTGTCAGAGTGATCACTTAATACAATGCTGAATATTTTGTGTTCTAGGGTTAAAATGTGATTTGATTTGGATTAAATAGCTCAGTGCTGAGGGGGAATGTGGGATGAGCAGTGTAAAGGACTAGATTGAGATCTGATAGACAGATGTTGTAAGAGAAAATAGAACAGATTTCACATGGCAGAGAAGCAATAGGCAGCCACTTAAACCCGAGATCTAAAACTTGGGTTTCCATGAAGGGAGTTCGTGAGTTTGGAAAGGAAAAAAGTTACATATTTATTTTCATCAACCTTTAACTGAACTTTGTTTTTCCTTCATTTATGAATGTAAGCAATACATTGCATCTGAATTATCATTACTTGTGATTTTGTCACCAGTACAACTCTCAGATATTTCCACATTCTATAACAGTGGTTAGAAATGTTTAAAATTTTTTATTTGTTCATTTATTTTATTTGAGAGAGAGGGAGAGAGACCTCTCATATATTGGTTCAATCACCAAATGCCCACCATGGCCAGGGCTGGGCCAGGTCAAAGCCAGGATCTGGGAACTCAATCCAGGTCTCCTTCATGGTTGGCAGGGACCCAGTCACTTGAGACATCACCTAGAGTGTGCCTTAGCAGGAGGCTGGAATTAGGAGCAGAGTCAAGACTAGAACCCAGGCACTCTGGTATGGGATGAGGGCGTCTCAACCAGCATCCTAACTGCTATACCAAATGCCCACACCTGGAAATATCTTAAAATATTGTTTGTGCCAATCAATATATTTAAATTATGGCACTAGTAGACCAAGGAGTAGATCTTTTTATTCAGTTCACTATTAAGGATTCATATCCATTATTATACCTGAAATTTGTTTTTCATGTTTTGTTTTAAACTGTGCCCCAATATGATTAGTTTACTTTGTAATAGTGGGTATTTTCTGTTAGGTATTTAAAGACATTTTAAGAGAAGCACATAGGTTTTCCAGAGTGCCACAAGTGTTCATGTCACAAAAAGGGTTAATATTTTCTGCTTAAAGTGAAAGATTGCAAATGTAAATGATTTCCTGCATAGGCAAGTAACATCAAGGAGTGACTGGAGAGAGATCCTTTAGAAGATTACTATAACAATTTAGAGAAAAAAAAAAAACAAAACAATTCCTGATGGTTTCATGGTACTCCAATCACCAACCCTCCTGTTTTCTGCTTACTTGGATCCTACTGAAAACAAAAAACAATAGGTCTGATGAAGTTCAAAGTAGACCCCCCCCCCCCTTTTTTTTTTACTAGCAAACCTGATATCAGAGAATGCGGTTTGTTTGCTGGCTGCCACAATTCCAGGGGCCTCCTCCGAGGGGGTGAGTGAAGGCGCCCCCTAGAGTCCCGGCGCGGAATGCCTGTTCAGCCTCAGCAGGCGGGGCCTGCTTTCTGTCCGTGACTGCCCGCAGTGCTTCCTGCTGCACTTAGACCAGCTTTCCCAGCTGGGCTGGTTTGGACAAGCCTCCCCCTTCAGGGAGGAGGTTTTGCCCCAGGAGGCTGTGAAATGGATAAGAACAATGCATTAATTAAATTCGTTCCAAGGCCAAAGATATTCTATTCTGTTTCCTTTCCCAAGCTCTGTCTTGCTGTAACTGTCTAATGTAACGTAGCAGAGGTTCTGCAATACAATTAAATTAGAATGCAGAGAGAAACTTCATTCATAAAATGCCAATAATGTGGAGGCACCCTAAATGTAAATCCGATGTCTTCCATTATGCAATTCTCTCAGAAAATGTAAAACCCAAACTCTAATCCCTTTCCGAGTTTGAGTCTAAGGATGATCCAATCCAGAAGAATTAGAGTCTGAAATCAAATTCTGTTTCTGTCCAAAGTAGGTAAGGCTGTCCTGAGGGGTTTCCACAGCCGTGCAGAGGGCGGGGCTCTGCCAGTACTTGCAGTCCTGGTCCCTCTGCCTGGAGCCAGCACGCTTCCTGCTGAGAATATGTTCTTTAATGCTGCCTTTCTTATGAACCGCACTGGTTAAGATTTTCAGAAAGTTACTGTTTTCACTGGTGGGACACACCCACCACATGTAGAAAAGAAGCCAACCGCAATCTCTAAAGCAATTATCTTAGAGAAAAGTGCATTCCCAGAATGTGAGACTTAATCCGTGGTAAAAACCTGTGATCCAAAATGCTGTGCCTGTGTGAAAAACAGGCTGGATGTGTGCAGGAGCTGTGGACAGAATGAAGATGTCCACGTCGTCCACGTCGGATCTCTGGAAGCCTGTGGAACGTGCTTGGAGGAAGAAGGGACTCTTGCAGAGACCAACACAAGGGTTTTTGAGATGGAGAGAGTATCCTGAATTAATAAAATCATGAGAATACTTCTAAGAGAAATGTAAAAGGACAGAGTCAGAGACACTGGAAGACAGCCCACACTGCATTTTTTAGATTTATTTTTATTTATTTGAGAGGCAGAGAGAGAGATCTTTTATTAACTGGTCACTCCCCCAGATGCCCACAACAGCCAGCACAGGGCCAGGCTAAAGCCAGGAGCCAAGAACTTATCCTGGTTTCCCACAAGGGTGGCAGGGGCTCCAGCTCTTGGGCCACCTTCTGCTACCTTCGCAGGTGTGTTATCAGGAAGACAGATTGGAAGCAAAGCAACTGGGACTCAAACTGGCGCTTGCATGGAATGTCGGTGTTGTAGGTGGTGGCTTCACTCACAGTGCCACAACATCAGCCCCAGCAGACGACTTTCTTGAGGATGGTAAAGGGGTCACAAACCAAAGCCAGGTGGCTGCTAGGAGCTGTAAAAGGCAAGGAAACTAATTTTTTTTTTTCTTAGTGGCATCAAAAGAAATTCAGCTTTGATGTTAGCAGAGTAGGTCCTATTTTGGACCTCTGGTCTCAGAAAATGTAAGATAATAAATTTGTGTTGCTTTAGGTGACTAGGTTTGTGTTAACTTATGACAGCACCTTTAGAAAACCAACAGAAGTGGTTAAGAGTTTGGATGATGGAATAAAACCAGCCTGGGTTCACCTTCCAGGTGGATCACTGACCAAACATGTGGCCTTGTAGGTTACCAGTCTATGATGAGGTCCCTGAATCACCAGCACACGTGAGCTAGGACTGGTGCTTGCACCATTTAAGGCTAAGACTTTGCCATAAGGTTGCCTGTGCCCACTAAAGCATGACCTTTTCTAGGTGCCATGTAGTGGTGCCTGACAAGGTCATTCCTTTGCACATGCTTTGCTGATCCCTAGATTTTTTAAGTCCCACAGATACCATGTTATTGAAGCCAAACTATCCTCAGATTTCCACTGAGACTTGTGACCTTGCTGAGAGCCATGCAACTTTGCTTTAGGCTGTCAAAGTCCAGAAAACAAAGAGCCACGTATAAAAAAAAGTCAGTCTATATAAGCAACCATAGGACAAGCTGTAATTGTTCACCAGGGTTGAAATATCATATGACCTAAACCTTAAGGGCCCTTTTCCAAATCGTGGAAAAGTGCAAAAGTCTAAAAACAGCCTCATGAGCCATAAAATTCCCTACAACCCACTAAGGTCAAAACATTTCTCTCCAACACAAAATCCCAAACCCCAAAACCTTTCAAGATTGTTTGACGTGTTTATTTTATTCTCTCTATTCCAGCTGTTAGTTGTATTTCTCAGTGTTCCCAACTAACGTACCAAATGTCGGGCTGTTCAAAGGAAAATCCTTTTCTCCTGCCTAAATTCAAACTCAATGGAGAAACAAGACAAAAGAACAAGGTGAACATAGACCAAAAAACATCATCTTTATTTCTGAAAATGCTGACATTAGAGGCTGTGGATTATGTGTGATGTCCAGGCAAGGGGGAAAATAGTGCGATGATGATGCAAATTTCTCCATATGGAAAAACAGTAGCAGCTGCCGAAGGTTTCCCCCTTGACCAGCAGAAAGATCTGACTCTCCTGACATGGTAGGAAAGATTCATTCAGACACTGTTACAAATCCAGTTCAGGTTAGTTAGGTGCAATTGTTTGATGGGCAGGCCACTTCAAATGGTGGGAGGGTCCATCTCACGGTTTTCCAGCTTCTCTGAAATCCACTTGTTAGATCCAGGCGAAAGGATCCCAGTATCATGGCAAGAAAGCTTTGTGATGCCAGCCAAATGATTATTTTTTCCTATGGCCTGATTAATTAGTGAGATTAATTAGTGAGGAAGCAGCCATTTAGTAATTGTTATGTAATTGACATTACTAATAGGAACCATGTGTTACAATGCCCTGAAAGATCCCGTTGGAGGTGACTCTGGATGAAGTCTGGCATTGGTAGACCTCTCCTGAACTGCAAAGCTAGAACAAAACCCATTCCTAAAATCATTTAGGAGATGAGATTTGGATTTTTGTTTGTAGTGCACCATACGAACATATTCAGGAAGAGACTGGCCTAGGTTTACAGAGCTGATTTCCTCATCCACATTCATTGACTTATGCAGTGAGGATATCAGCTGAGCTCTGAAGGCCAATGCACGTGGAACTTCCTTAGTTCAGAAATCCATAGAAAATGATTCTGGTAATGGGTTCGTCAAACACCAAAGCGTCTGGAGCTGGTGAAGATGGCGCTGCTAAGCAGTGTGTTTGTGTTGTAGTTCCCGGCTTCCTCTGGGAAGTCCGACTCTTGCTCACCACGGGGAAAGCACCCTGCTCTGCTTTATTGGTTGTTTACTTCAGGATCACTGGTGTTATTTTCATTGCTAGCGACAGCTTGAAAGTTTATTCATGATTTGCTGAGTCAGTGCCCTGACCTATTTGTATTCTCTGGCGATATCTGAGAGTAATTCATGTGCTCTGATTCCTGAATGTGTAACTCCTTAGTGCATGTGGGCTCTGCAATAGATAGAGTTTGGGGATAACTAAAACCACAGAAAAACTGCTTTATTTTATTTTTTTTGCCAGTATAAATCAAGGATGTTGTTGTAGAAGAGTTTGATAGCTTAAGAGAAATCCATCAGCACCACTGAAAAAACTATGCAACATGTGTATTCAACTGATATTTCAATGGAGCTGTCTCCCCATAAATCCAGGAGTAACTAACAAAAGGAGGGATTGGAACATTTTAAATTATATTTATTAGTATGGAGATGCTACTTTCAGTCCATAGAACCTTTAAAATGGTTGCAGTATTTTAAATTTTGTCTTTGTGTTCTTTTATATGGTTGTACTGCTTGTGGTTTTATCTCTGTGTTCGTTCCTTCTATGTTTGCTGGAGGTGGGGAGGATTCCTAGTGATGCATGTTCCTTATGAAAGTGGTTGATTTCATTGTATTAGGGAGCAATGCGTTTTTATGATCATTTCCTGTGCCTAAGGCACATCTTCATTCATTTTGGGGGAAGTCTTCCTTGCCAAGTATCCTCAGAAGTCAATAGAACCAGAAATTATAGCAGTGATGCAAATGGGAGAGCAGGGACCTAAACCGATAAGGCTGAATTCCACATGTCCCTAGCCCCACCGCTGGTCACTTGCTTAACAGTTCTTGTAGTGACATCTTACTCCCAGCGTCTTCAGATGCTCAAACAAGCACCTGCCATCGTCACTTCAACCAGATATACCCTACTGTACTGAATACCTGTATTCATTTCTTGAATGTGTAAATGTTTGTGCATTGAATCATCCTGACAAGCTACTTTGCATCTGCTGCTTTGTCTATTTTGTCTCCTCTTTTCATTCAGCCTGGAACAAAGCCAAGAAACAAGTGTTCTCCTGGAAGTGACTTTCTCTGGGATGACAGGGTTGCATGGGTGTGTGCACACATGCTGCCTGGAGGCAGCCATGACACCCTGGCACAGTGTGTGGCTGAACTTTTAAGGAAATGATTATGGGTTTGTTCCCTGTGTGAAGGCCTTGGGGATGGCTAGTCACTCAACAATTTGAAATAATCACTAGACGCACACACACACATGCGTGCACACACACATATAAAGATATATATATATATATATATATATATATATATAGAGAGAGAGAGAGAGAGAGAATACTTCTGTTGGCTTATCAGGAGTTACCATTACTATTCTAGAGTGGTGTCCTGGCCTGAGTCTTCATGGCTGCAAGCTTGAATTCAAGTGTCTTTCTAGAACTGTTTTGCCCTCAACCTGGTGCTCAGTGTTTATCCATTAAAAATTATCCTCTTAAAGTATCTGAGGGAAGTCAGCTTGGATTCACTTCATTCTGGAATGGTAGCAACACAGATTCTGGAAAGGTTGAAAAAAAAAGACACTGAGGTTGGGTGA